TTTTTTTTTTTTTTTTTTTAAAAGGCCGGCGACTGTCTCCTTGGAGCTCTCGAGCTCTCGGCCAGACTCTATCACCTCTTATGGTTGAAAAGCAGTTCTCCAGCAGCCCAGGGAAGTTCGGGCTACAAGCAAGGCTCGTTAGAACAGTAGGAACCAGGAAGGAAACCAGCTCGAGTCGAATCGCATTGAATAGTTTTCAAACGGCACGGTGGTTTAGTTCGACATTTGCAACATGCAAATCTCACCGTCCAAACTCGGGTTATTCAAATCTCGAACGTTTAAATGGAAATGCAGTTCGCGTATTGGATCAAAATGGTGGGGAACGAAGTACGGTCGGGGTGAATGCGATCGATGAATTAGGTCCCTTTGTTGGCGCATCTCTTCAACTTTTCTCTGTACACGTATATGCAATAATTGTATTAAATCAATTAGAATATATCGACGAAACGCCATTTCCGGAGTCCAATTAATTTGAAATGTCCGTTTACGAACGCGGGAACAATGTTTCCTCGATGAGGTATGTTGAGAAACGAAGTTGAATGGAAATATCAAGGTATCGGTATCAAGTATTTAGCATGAAAACAAGCGATCCTTGACTCTGGCCGATCGATAGAGCGAGAGGACTCGATCGAGAGGCGCAGTCGAACTCGCTGTGTCAATCGGAACGCTGATTGACCGTATCCCGTGTGTCACGCGGCGAATCGTGCCAAACATCAGATCGTGCTACAATAATTGTGCCGGCCGTTTTGCCTAATCTGTCTCAATGTCACGGGACCTGATCTGTTCCGGGATTTCGCAACGACTCGCTCCGATCGACGCTTGGTACGATAAGCTACCAGACTAAACTAGATCGCTACGAATCTAGTTTTGCTGTTTCGTTAATTTTCGCTCCTCGAGAACAGCAACTTTCCCGTTTTCGGGGGGAATTTATTTTTCATTCAACGTTGGATCCCCTCGATGGTGTGCTCGATCTGGGACGTTCTATCGACGATTATATCGTTCGGTCACTCGAGCGGACGTTGCCTTATTTTCGCCTGGTGGAACGGCCGTGCATTATTGATCTTTCCTTAAACGGATTCCGTGGAAGAAGCTCCGCTGCCACCAGGCTCTATTTTTATTGCGCGCAGTATTTTCTTCTCGCCGTCTATAATTGCCGCTGCGATGTCGTCAGCCTTGTTTCGTTCGGCGATCGTTGACATCTCTTATCCGCGAGCAACTTTCTAGCGAGGAGCTTTCTTTCTTCCTCGTATCTTTCCTCCACTTTTGACCGAAACCAGGCTGAAGAATAGACGTGTTCGTCCGGCTACGTTGAAAGATCTCTGCCCGTCTCTTGACCGTGATGTTGACTAACAACAGCGTGTATAGGTGTATAAAAGCTCGTGATGTAACCACGTCGTCGAATGGGCGAGGCGATGCATTATAGCCGCGTTGGCCGGCCTCTTTGCATTCTTCGGATCCTTGGCGTCGCGTAACAGGATGTCGTGTCCTTGGCGCGCCGACGATATCTTCGCCTCGGAGCGGCTCTTTCGAAGAAGAGCGTAAAATTATTGCGCGAGGCTGATCGACGAAAACGATCGATTGGACACCGATGCTCGGGGTGCTGCTGCCGGGATCAACTTGTGACCGGAAGCTCCGGACAATATAACGAGAGATATCTGGATCGTGGCTCGCCGTGTCTTTTGTTCGCGACACGCGACGTAAACCAAGTTATGTAATGATGGAAATTAAACGGAGGAAATAAAGCCAATTTAGCTTCGCCAACACCTACCTCGAGAGTACTTTGCGTTACGACGTTAACTCTGCTGCGATTCTTGAGTTCTTTTTTTTTTTCTTCTTCTTTTTATTTCAAGCAAAAAAACAATTTTTAAATGATTACATTCGCCTGCAATCTCTAAGAAGTTGCTTGAACGATCGATGAAGTTTCTAAAGGGCTCAAGGAACGCGGTTAATGTGTACTAAAACACACACACACAAAGGTGCAAAATCGCGACTACGTTCGAGAAAGAAATAACTATCTTTTGAGGAACGCGTGGCTGCGATTTTGTTGCTTCTCACGGTCCCCAATCAGTCTGGCCGGAACGATGCTTATTGGTTCCAGACGTACGCGAAAGACAAGACACAGCAAAAGAGCTTGCCACCGCACACGACACTCCAGAGGCACGTGAAAGCGAACAGAAACCACGTTCACATACCACGGTAAACGTTGATTCAACCGGTATATACGATACAACGCTGTTCGAACGTGCGAGGAGCGATCAGTCACGCGAAATTTCTGTTGCAGATTTTACTTCCCCGGTGGGAAACCATTGCCATTGTCGCAGGTGGAGGCAACCGTCGCCAGGATCACCGCTGCTTTTCAAACTCTTCCCGGTCATCGTGCCTCTCGTGCCCAATTTCACACCATCACCAAGGTAAAAAAAAAAAAAAAAAAAAAAAAAAAGAAAAGAATCCCGAGGACAACAGTTTTCTCGGTTGTTCTCCGTTTGAACATGTTTGAGATTCGATCTTGACGATTCGCGTGGTCTCTCGCGTGGACCGTGAGCGATTTCACGTGGGAAAGTCGTAACTCTAACGTGTTCCGTCGCTGGAACAGCTGCGTACAAAGGCTTGTGATTTGTCTTACAGGCATGCGACTTGCCGCTCTACTGGAAGGTGCCGCTTTTCCTCGCGGCCGGCGGAGATCAGACCGGCTACGTCGAGATGAACGCGTTCCTCGAGTTTTGGAAAGAGTATGCATATATAACTTCTGCAGAATCAAAGGATAGATCAAGTAGACAATTCGAACATTTTAATCCTTTGCACTCGATTGTCCCTTCTGAGGGGACATCGTACTCGAATCTAGCTCGAACTTCCTCTTTCTATCATTTGCTGATAATTATCACGAACGTATAGTGAATGCTATAATAACGACGTAGGAAGAACAAAAGAATTTCAGAAGAAATCTCCCGAGTCAAGCTAAACTGTTCGTTGCTTCTTACGAAAATTTAAAAAATGGCAGAGGACATTATTTTTCCAGAAATTGAAATTATCATTGACTCTCGTATATCATACTGGATGATGAGGAAGATACGATTAGCAAAATTTCGTAAATTTCTACTTAAAGTTTCGTAAATAAATCGCTGATAGATGACACAAAAAAAGTTTGTCGAGGGCAAAGGGTTAATCTTTTGCTAAGCAAAAGAGTTGCACTCCGATCTCGCCGAGTTTGACGAATATCGCGGAACCGATTGTTCGCAGAATGTCCAACACCCACCATGACGCAGCAAGCAAGTTTATCCGGATCACAACCCGGAGCCAGAGGAATAATATACTACCAGAGGATTTGATCCCGCTGGTGCAAGACGTGGTCGAGACCCATCCCGGTTTAACTTTCCTCAAAGAGGCTACTGAGTTCCATTCACGCTACGTACACACGGTTCGTATTCGCGCGATAAATATTTGCTGGCTATTTCTCTTGTTAGGGACAAAGATAGAGGCAGAAGAGAAAAAGGTTCCATGGAAGATGGACCGTAGTTTATGCAACTACCGTGGATCGGTCTTGAATTATTCAAGACGATCGTGCTCGCCTCGAGCAATTATCGCGCGCGTTCCTGGTCATTGAAAAAACATCTTAACGTTGCGCGTTTTTTTTTCTTCTTTCTTTCTACGTTGGTTTGACATCAGTCAACCTAACAGTGGAATCTCTGATCTTTCTTTCCTGCTTAACTGGCTCCTGGTATTTGTACATTGTATTTGTAGACTCAATATTGAAGATGTCAGTTGACGCGATGAATTGATGTTTGTGGTTCTTGTTTGACGTGTGCCTTGATGAATTTTGACGCCAGGTGATCGCCAGGATATTCTACTGCGTGAACCGAAGCTGGAGCGGGAGAATCTCCGTCGCAGAGCTGCGGAGGAGCAACCTGCTGTCGGTGATCGCGATCCTCGAGCACGAGGAGGACATAAATCAAGTGACTGCCTACTTCAGCTACGAGCATTTCTACGTGATCTACTGCAAGTTTTGGGAGCTTGACCGGGATCACGATCTCTTCATCGACAAAACCGATCTCACGAAGCACAACGATCACGGTGAGCGAAAGTTTTTTTTTCTTAAAAAAAAAAAGATACGCATCGTCTCTTTGCTACGGGGATTTTTCCATTTTTTGGCTCGATCGCTCGTTACAGCTCTTTCCAAGCGCATGATCGCGAGAATATTCAGCGGCGCGGTGACCAGGGGTGGCGTGAAAAGCGGAAACGGCGTTCAACAACCCCAGGATAAGATGAGTTACACGGAATTCGTGTGGTTCCTGTTGAGCGAGGAAGACAAAAACCACCCGACCGCTATTGAATATTGGTTCAGGTATATTACGCGTAATATATTTAAGCTGCATGAGCTCTACGGTGGTGAAACAAGATGTTTCATTTCACCATCATTGGATGATCGACAGATGCATGGATCTCGATGGCGATGGATACCTATCGATGTACGAGTTGGAATATTTTTACGAAGAGCAATTGCATCGCATGGAAGCGATTGGACTGGAGACGTTGCCCTTCGAGGATTGCCTTTGCCAGGTGAATAATTGAAAATGAAATATATTGTATTTAAATTTAGTAATTTAATCATTTTTGTTCTCATGACTTTGCTCGATAGATGTTGGACATGATCAAACCAGCAAAGCCGGGGAAAATATCTCTGAGTGATTTGAAGAAGTGCAAGATGACCTCAATCTTCTTCGACACGTTCTTTAATCTTGAGAAGTACCTGGATCACGAACAGAGAGATCCCTTCGCATCCGCCAGAGAGCACGACCCTGATGGCCACGAGGTAAAGAGCTTTAAACGTTATCAGAAGCAAATGAAATTAAATTCGTTGTTACGA